GCTGTAACCTTGGGAGTTTAATACAAGCCAGGAGTGGCAAGTATTAGTTTTTAGAATCCTTGCGGGGCCCCCATCTTCTGCACTCAAAGTGACAGAGCAGGGATTCAGCCCTGACACATGCCCTGATGAGGTGTGAACTACCCTGCTGCTCTTGGAGATTTTTTGCCTGGGTTTGTTTTAAGCCATGAGGACACATTTTCAGCCTCATAACTATATACATGAAATCACAACCTGTAACATTATTATAACAACAATGCTCAGTGCATCATGAGCCTTCCGAAGACACCCAACATGACAAACTTTGCATTGGATACCACACAATCATATTACAAGGATGAACATGCGGGTGCAGGGTATTCCCCCGAGGTACAGAAGGTCACACTTCCCCTCTTAGTTTACTGCAAGAGGGTTAGTCACTGACTAGCTTGAAGGCAGTTTGTGTTATAGTTCTCTTGGCATCCACCCATCAAGGCCATGAGGCAGTGTGCCTCCGTTTCCTCATTCATACAACAAACCAGGTTACTCCACTGTCCTTCCCTGCCTCCTAGAAGGCTGTGATCTGTGCTCTCTGTGCTAGGTGTGGTACGCTTTAAACCTGTTTACAGGTATTAATTGAAAAGTAGCATTATCATAAGGTTTAACATCCATGTCAAAATTTTTATCCCCAAAACTTAACATTAATACCAAAATTTTTATCTCAGATGTGTGTTTACAAGTATCTTTATGATACCACACCCTCTGTTCAGATATTCGAGTTTGAGGTTAGTTTGTTCATTACCCATGGTGTTCTTTGACTCTCTCCCATGTAATCAGTCACTGGTATTTCTTTCCCTCCAGTGTTCCCCTCTGTGTGGGCTCTTAATTTAATCATGTTTCTGGAATTTTGGTGCCTCAGGGTTTGGCAAGATAGGTGTTCAGGGGGATCCTGCACATTGGCTGGCCCTTTGGGGAGCGGTCTCCCAACCCCAGGACTGTACATATGCAGAAAATCCAGCTCCCCTTTTGAGGTTACCCTGTGTTTCCCCCTCCCAGCACTGAGTCCTTCCCTGCCTCCTAGAAGGCTGTGATCTGTGCTCTCTGTGCTAGGTGTGTTTACCCTTTGATCAGATTCACCTTTTCCCAGCAGCTTTTCTGTAACTGCTCCCTGTCTCTCACTAGCCTGGGGGAAAAAAACCCTTCTCTGTTAGTTGGGTCATATGTATTCTCACAAACTACCATCTGGCAATTTCCTGGTCTCAACTCCTCTGCTGTCATAGGCACTGGAGTTGCATCTTGATGTAAAGAGACACAGTTACTTTCCAAAAACTTATCAGAAATAGCATCCTGAAAAACTGGGACCTGGTTTGGGGTACCCTCTGCCACCCCTTTCTCTGTCCCTGAGAAGTCAGCTGTGTGACTGCTCCCCTCCAGGAGGTCAGTTACATGGTTCCTTCCCAAACCTGAGTCACAGGGTGAGTGCCTGGGTGCACAGATGCTGACCCAGCCATCCTCCTAGTGTCCTGGGCATCCTGCCCCAAGTGACTAGTGAGGAGACATTCCTGTAACCCCACTATTCCTTCCCCAGTTTCCTCCTCTGGGCCCCCTCCTAAGACACATTTCTCTGTGCTCCCTAGGAAGGGTTCTATCCCTTGTTCATCTACAAAACTCTGCCAGCTAACAACTGGGACAGTTTACTTAATCACTGAAAACACCCTGCGGGCAAGTTGCATTCTGCTGGAAAGGAGCTAGTCTCAGCCCCTCCCATACTTGGAAGCACACTGCTTCCCTGTGTTACAGAGGCTAGGTCTACACTACCCGCCTGAATCGGCGGGTAGAAATCGACCTCTCGGGGATTGAATTATCGCGTCTCGTCGGGACGCGACAATCAATCCCCAAATCGACGCTCTTACTCCACCAGCGGAGGTGGGAGTAAGCGCCGCCGACGGGAAGCCACGGAGGTCGATTTTGCCACCGTCCTTACAGCGGGGTAAGTCGGCTGCGATACGTCGAATTCAGCTACGCTATTCGCGTAGCTGAATTTGTGTATCTTAAATCGACCCCCCCCGTAGTGAAGACGTAGCCTGAGTCACAGGAATCCTCACCCAGTGGTTTCTGAGATCCCCTGCCCCTTCTCTTGGCTCTCCTCTGGGACACATTTCTCTATCCTCCCTAGAGCCGTTTGTCTCTGGTTCAGCTGCAACCTGCTGGCAGTTAACCACCTGGACAGTTCTCTCCCTGGCAGGCATTACATCCCCATCCCTTCCTGATGTGATGTTGCCTCCAGCTGCAGTGCAGGAGTTGGTCTCAACCACCCTCCCACCTGGAAGCCTGGGGCTTCCCCCTGCTGCACAAGAAGACTCTCTCCCATTCTCTCAGCAGTTCCTGAGACCTTACCCTTTCCCTCGGGGGTCCCAGCATAAAACTTCCTCCTGATGCAGGCAAATACTTTAACTTGAGCTACATGGAAAAAATCATTACCAAGAAACAGGTCGACTGGGGGTGTTCTATTACCTGCACAGTCAAAACACTTTCCAAACCACATGGATTTTAGCTAAGGGTACCAGGAATCTGCTTTCGCCCACCCCCACAATCTCTGTTAATATGTGCTGGGTGATGTGGGACTGACAGGGCCAGGATTAATTGATGGGGTCTGGGAGGCAGAACACTGATGTTAAGATACTACAAAATGCAAAATTAATTGCTATGGGGCTGGAGGGCACAATTAATTAACTGGAGGTTTGGAAGAAACTGGAGCCTTTTGCATCACTAGGTCGTAATCTGTGCAAATTTGTGTAACTCTATGCAAATTAACAATCTATTTCTTTGTCACAAGATGTTGACACTTATGGATTCTTGGCCCTAGATGCTCCCTTCCCTATTCCATCCTCCCTGCTCATTTCAGGAGTCCCCAGTACTCCAAAATCTCTCTCTTCTACTGATTTCCCTGCATACCTCTCCACCCACCTGATGTAACGAAATGTACCCTTCCACCACCATCCATCTCATTTTAGGGACCCTGCCACACTAACATTTCCAAACCCCATTTCCCCCACTGTTTAGTTAATGGACCTCCACTCTACTGAGTTCAGAGCTCCCTGATGCCTGGCATTTCCTTCCTCCAGGCAGAGGCCTCTGTGCGGTCACCAGACAGCAGTAGCTTAAAAGTTTCCTCACCTAAATTTGAGGGCTAAGAAACAATTATTTGCCCCCTCCAGCAATGGTGTGAGGGAGTGGTGCATTCTAGGTGAGTGGCAACAGCTCAGCAGCATATGGTGAATTAAAGCAGTAGCATTGTCTTCAATGTGGAAGCTATTACAGCAAGCACCACACTAGCAGATAAAACCATAAAGTGTTCTTTTTTAAGTTATTCCTGTTCATTGATAAACTGCTTTCATTTAGAATAGTTAGTTCTCTGAGGTTCCTGTTTTTACTGTTAGCAGGATGCAAACCTAGCATGCCCATCATAATCCTCCTGCTCCAACACAGCCCCTAACTTCCAAATCCTCACTCACTTCCATACTCAAACTATCCCAGTGGTGCTGCTCTGAGTCCCCGCCTGGGCTCCTGTGTGCAACTAACCTCTAACAAAACTTGAGCCTAATTTAGTGGCATCCTTTCTTTTTAGCCAGCTCTTGCAAATAATATTTTACTTAACAGATGTTTATTGGTAACCTGTCTCGTGCCTGGAGTTTTTAAAACTAAATACCATACACAGGACATGTAACTGTATATTTAAAATGTTTGGCATATGGCTCATACAGTAACACCTGACAGATAGTGAGTTGGTTGCAATACCAAAAATATATTACCATTTTAAAAAATAAATGGTGTAAGAATTACCTCTTGAGAATTCACCATTTCTGTAACTATGAATACCCCTGAATTTATTAGAGAATGCAATTTTCCTGTAAGCAAGCAGGCAGATAAAGCACAGGAAGGAAACACATTGTGCATTGAAAGGAATGGCTGGGACCTTGAATGTCAATTTTAGTAATTCCCCTCGTTAATACTCCATTCATAGAAATGACTAATTCCCACCTTGGAGGTCTATCAATTCTATTTGTCTGCAGATATACCACAACCCATATAAGTTTGGAAGTTTTTCTTTGCAGCCAGAGCACCACAACAGGCTTTCTTTTTAGGTGAAAGGCAGTCAGTTTCTGTAGAAACTGACAAGTCCATGAGAAAAGCACTGGTACAGTGTACAAGCCACTACTGTCACAGGCAAGCACCAGCTCAATCTTGTACGCAGATGTTCCACAGCACAATTGGTTAAGTAAGATGTAGCACGGCATGTTATGCGAGCGTACATCACATGTACATGCGTGTGTCATTCTTCTCTTAATTGTTTCATGAGTGATCCAAATCCAGCTCAAGTATCAGAGTGGTAGCCATGTTAGTCTGTATCCACAAAAACAATTAGGCGTCCAGTGGCACCTTAAAGGCCAACAGATTTATTTGGGCATAAGCTTTTGTGAGTAAAAAAAACCACTTCTTCAGATGCTTATGCCCAAATAAATCTGTTAGTCTTTAAGGTGCCACCGGACTCCTCATTGTTTTTGTTAATCCAGCTCAGCACCAACTTCAAACTTGGATCTCAGCTTTCCCTTAGAGATGGGGGAACCTGTGACCCGCTCAACCACCCTTTGCTCCGACGAGGAGGCTGGCTGGCATTCCCCCCATGGAGCTCCGCGTCTGCCCGCTGGGAGATGCAGGGGAATCCCACCCCACCACTGCCAGCGGCTTCCCAGGAGGAGGCACCGAACCCCTACGTCCACTCCTCATTCAGCCACTGGCTCACGAGGCAAGAGCACGACTCGCCTGGTTCTCGCGCATACACGCAGCAGCTGCGGAGGATCGGGGAGGCGGAGTCCGCACATCCCAGCGGCTAGCCTTTGCACCCCAGCCCCGAGCCCCCAGCTGCGGAGCGAAGGGGGCGGGGCGAGGCGAGGAGAGCGGAACAAGACTACCAGGCGCATGCGCACTAAGCGAGTTCGCGGAGGTAGTTGGGAGGGGTGCTTTCCTGCCGCTCTTCCCTGTCCGTAGCTGTATCCGGGTCATTCCGGTGAAACCCCCCCATGTCCCCTTCCCGCGGGGTCACTGTGGGTTTCCGGTCCTCTTCCCCCTCCCAGGGAGGTTTGTGTGTCGGTGCGGTTGGCATCGCTGTTGAGCCGTTTTTTCATTTATTCTAGTCCCCTCCCCGTGCTTGCCCGCATGGATCCTCCCGGAGTGCGGCGCCCCGGAGGAGGGGAGGACGGCGGCGGCGGCCCGGGTGAGGTACGGAGGAGCTGCCCCTGACTTGGGGCTGAGCAGCTGCGGGGAGCCCGTTGCCCAGGCGCTCCCGGGGTGCCGGTAGGGCTGGGGCCGGGCAGGCGCGAGGGGAGCTGTTGTGAAGCCCGGGAGGCCTCTGCGAGCGCTGCAGTGTGATGTGGGGTCCCAGGCCCCGCGTATTTGTAGGCACGAGGGGTCCTGGGGCTCGACTGCGCCTGGTATCACTCAACGCCTGCCCCTTCGCCGCCCGCCCCCGGGGCAGCTGTTGTGTGTGAGACCCTGGCCGCCCCAGCCGGGCTCTGCTTGCAGTTCGTGTAGAGGGGAAATAGCCTGACCCCTTGGCCTGCCTGTGTCAGCGCTGGTAACCTCTGACGTGGTGGCAGCCGCAGTTTGGGGCGACGGAGATTGTTGTAGCAAAACATCTCTGCCATGTTTGCGGAGTTGGCGTCTCCAGCTGGGATTGTTTAAATAAGGAAGATTTAATAAAATATCTGAGAGTGCAAGTGAGGTGTCATTGAAACACACATAGCAAAACCCCTTTTTGTTTACTAAAATGTACATTAAACATCTCCTTAGAATTACTTGCAACGGAGATTTGCTGTCTATATATTTCCTCTGCCCCCACATGCTATTGGTACCCAGGCTTCTCTTTTGGAGGCATAAGTAATAAACTAGCCTAGCCTAAAATACAAACTGATGTTGAATAAATTGAATATGCTATGGGCTAACTCTTTATGTAGCATTTCCATATGTTATGGATAAGGTTATGATTATGTCATGGAGGTCACAAAATCCATGACTTCCTTTGATCTCCGTGACATTTTCTGCCTGGGGCTGGTGCTCCCAGCCCTACCCCCCAAAGCTGCCCAGCCACAGCAGGGAGTGGGGAGACCCTGAAGCTGCCCAGCCATGGTGGGCACTGGGGGGACCCTGCAGCAGTCCAGCTGGGGACCCTGGAGCTCCCAGTCGTGGCGGGGGACCACACCTGAGCTCCCAGCCACCCTGATAGGGGGATGACAAGTGGACCCTACAGCAGCCCAGCCCCTGTGGGCAGAGGGACCCCAGAGCTCCCACTCCTCACAGCGGCAGGGGATCCGGGAGCCCCAGCACGAATGGGTGCTGAACCCACTTCACCATTTTGTCAGGGGTATTTTTAGTGAAAGTCAGGGGCAGGTCACAGGCTTCAGTGAATTTTTGTTTATTGCCCATGACCAGTCATGACTTTTACTAAAAATATCTGAGCAAAAACTTAGCCTTAATTATGGATGTTCCTTTGTAATTTGAAGTTTTGCTCTCCCACTGCTGTGAGATCCAGTTAATGAGAGAAATGTATTGTGAATTGGTAATGTAGAATAACTTCTCTCTAAAAATGTTATCTTTTATTCATAGTATTAGGTGCTCACCACAGCCTAACATCACTTAGCTCTCTCACAATAGTGGTGATGATCAGGCACTCCAAGTTCAGGGCGGGAGTAGTGGAGGGGTTGGCCAGCCTTCACCTTATAACATCTTATAGATAATTGAAATGTTGTATGTGGTTAAGACTTTTCTACTGTGTTAAGTTATAGTGACTAACACCAATATGATCCTAGTGCTCTGTGAATAGTTAGAATCTGTTGACCTTCAAGGCCGGCTGCAAGATCTGTCTTTTACCCAGGCTTTTGTGGCAGGAGGAATACGATAAGGGCAGGTATTTGTGTGTGGCAGGGTTTTTGGTTATTTTCTCATGTCTGGATAAGCTGCTGTGTATTTGTTTTTCAATGTTATTGTAGCTTTAAAATTATACCTAAGGCAGCAAGAGGCCTGGATTATAAATCTAACTAAATTAAATAGCTAATAATGGTTGCCCAATGAATAAAGACCCCAATTTATTAAATTACAGCTATTTCATGTAAAAGTGTAGAGATTAGGAAAAGCATTTTTAAAAAGCTTCATTCTGTTAATATTTTCATATAAATATCTTTTAATGTTCAATTTTCATACTGAAAGAATCCTATAGGTATGGCTTACGTACCAACAGAGGATGAAAGAAGAATTTTCAGGGAATGCAACGACGAGAGCTTCTGGTATAGATGTGAGTCAAGTTTGCTGATAAACCACCTTTGTCTCCATTTTAATCTCCTCTTTCTTCCTCCTTTGTAGTATTGTTTTTGCCATTATCACAGCTATTTAAAAATGAGAGCCAAAACCTGCAAATCCTTACTCATGAGTAAGGACTATTTGTATGAGAAGCTTCACTGAAATCAAATTATACACTAAGATAAGTAATATTATGGAAGGAAAATGCTTGTCACATCATCTCCCTGAATACTTGATCCATTAGCATTTACAGTAACTGTTTTAAAGATCCAGTTATAGGGACTGTTTTGCTTCCCATAGTTACACAGGGTTGTAAAGCACCTCCCCACCACCTACCGTTACTGACTTACTGTGAGGAAGTCTCTGTGCTTGTCGGGGGTCAGCTCCCTGACTCCACCACCACTGGGCAACACATGCACTCCCTCCTCAGTCTACACACACTCTGCTGTCCCTCTTCAGGTTTGCGATAGACACACTCCAACCTATGAGCATTTCACTGGAGTGCTCAGCTCCTGTTGCACAGTATTGACAGATACACTGATCCCAAAGGAACAGTACACCTCAGCTTACCAGTTATATCTTAGATCTCAGCTCCACTTTACACACAACATTTAAAAATGTTTTTAGTGAAAACAAGTATGTTTATTTAACAAGAATAGAGATTTGAGAAGTAGCAAGGAAAAGTATTGGCAACAAATGGTTACATGTAAAATAAAATCATAACACACATTCTAGAGCCTAGACTTAACTAGATATTTTCCTGTCTAATGAAGTTTGGCTCACCCAAAGTCTTTGCAGCATTTTCTAGTGAGGTTGACTGTGACCCTCCTTTCATAAGACAGAATATGATGATTGTTCGTCTCCTCCATGAAAGATCCTGGATATATATCAGTTCTCTTGTTGTACCCCTAGAATCCATTTTTTAAATTTGTAAGCAGGATATTCCCCTGTTGTTTGTTTTTTTTTCTGCAGTTTTCCTCTCTTGATTTCACAGTCTCTTGATTAGTATCAGGATCAATAATGCAAATAGGTCTCCATTTTGATGTATACAATGAACGATACGTAAGTGGCCAGACATAGAGAGATAAGCATCTGCTATCCTCTCCCTGAAGAGAACCTCTCTGTGGCACATTGCATCCTTGTGACCTGCCTTTAACTTCAAGGCTTTAAGAACATAATTTTTGGTATAGATAGTTCTTAAATATTATCCATCATTTGCAGTCTTGTTTTAGCTGTGTTGGTCCCAGGATATTAGAGAGACAAGGTGGGCGAGGTAATATCTTTTATTAGACCAACTTCTGTTGGTGAAAGAGAAAAGTTTCAAGCTACACAGAGATGAAGAAGATCTCTGTGAACCTTGTAAGTTTGTCTCTAAATATTATCCATACACCTGTTTCTCAGTGATGATGATGATGATCTGTAAGCTACTGGCTCTTGGTAGAGACCTTACGTGCCACACTTTGGTGAATTATTATGCATATGCTTGACCTTAGAGATCCCTGTAAATGCCTATGCCCCCCGCCCTTTGTCAGTTCACATCAAGAGGTCCCTGGGTCACAGCCTTATCCTGCAAACCTTTATACAAGTTGGCCGTCAAAATTAGTCTGACTATTCATGTGAGTAAGGGTTTGTAGGATTTGGATGGCTTTTTAAACCATGTAAATGCTAGTGAAATATGCAAAAGACTGAGATAAGACAGTTCTATATTTTTGAACTTCTGCAGCAGCTTCATGCAATTTTTTTAATTGAGGTTTTTATTGAATTGAATATGAAAATGAAAAATTCAGTACAGTAGCTCCTGTTATATATTTTGATATTCAATTCAGTTTATTTTACACTCTCCTCGTATTTTGAGTTCTGAGTTGTGCAGATTATCTTTCATAGGTCGTTAAGGTAAATGGGACAGTTCACACTTCTTAGAACCATTGTTTTCAGTCTCTCTGCAACTTCAGTAAGAGAACAAACATCAATAAACATCAGTTTACACTCAGTTTGCCTCTCAGGGTATGTCTACACAGCAACTAGACATGTACCAGGCTGGCCCCTGCCAGCCAACTCCGACTTATGGGGCTGTTGCATTGCAGTGTAGACTTCTGAGCTTGGGATGGAGCCCAGGCTCTGGGACTCTCTCACCCCATAGTGTCCTAGAGCCCGGGGTTCTCCCCTGCACCCCGAGCCCCACCAGCCTGAGTTAGCTGACATGGGCCAGTCATGGATATCTAGTTGCTATGTAGACATACCATCAGAGGAAATCTCTGCAGCCATGAGCACTAGAAATATTTTATTTAATGAAGGCTGAGACTCTGGAATGAGACTCTGGAGCATGACTCTGCAGCAAACTGAATTCTGCAAATCATAGACTACACAGGGCCTGTGATCATGCATTGTCTTAACAGAATGCTGCTTGCCCAATATAAAGTGTGATTTGTTTCAATTATCAAAACAGTGTTTTGTTTTGTTTTTTACAAAATGCTGAAGAATTCTTGACCAAAATGGATTGTATTATTACTTTACATTTCCTCCCCCCAATCCAAAAGGCCAGCACCACTTCTTCATTTACTTATGGCCTGGAGATCATGAAATTATCTTTTTGGATATGAGTCTTCTGTCTGTCATCTGTGCTTTTGTCATCTAGAGCAGTGGTCTCCAAACTTTTTTGATTGCGCACCCCTATCAGTAAAAAAATTTTGAGCGTGCACCCCCTGCCGTGCTGGCTCTACCATTTTTGCCGAAGCAAAAAAAAAAAAAAAGCCCCCCGGACCCCCCCCCAAACTGCAAAAAAAAAAAAAAAAAAAAAAAAGCTCCTCCTGCCGCGCACCGCCAAGGATTCTCTTACGCACCCCACTTTGGAGACCGCTGATCTAGAGAGGAGATTGCTGCACTATGGTTTTTATGAGGCTGCATCTTAATTCTTTGTGGAAACTGAAGCTACGTAGAATTTAGCAGTCTGTTTGTTGAACAGTATATTTTTATGTGAACAAAAATAGTGCACTGGTACCTGTGATTTGAATTAGCTGTCTGTCTGTTTTGGGGTAGGTTCCTATCTCTCTGAAAAACCTCCTTTCCCCTCAATTTTGGGACTCTCTCCCACCATGTTTTGAAATAGCTGGAATCTCGAATTTCTAGTCATGCAGCAAGAACCCTCTTTGGTCCCTAGCTTTTGGGAAGGGGAGGTAATGATGAGGCTTGTAAGTGATGGGAGGAATGTGGGTTCAGTTAATGGTCATTTGACCATTAAATGACTAAAACAATGGTCTTTTTTTTTTTTTTTTTAACTAGGACATTGCTGCTAATTGGGGTGATGGTTGGAGTTTTAAAAAGAGCAGTGGAGTAGTTACTATCTTATTTTTATATATACATTGAAAAAAGTGAAATTGTTGAAACTCTAAATTAGTTTCTACAATACTTCCACTCAGTTACTCAATTTTAGGAGGATACCTTCTACCAGGTTTTTCAGTGTAAGTGTAGTGTTATCTTATTCATAGAGTTTAAGGCCAGAAGGGACCATTAGATCATCTGATCTGACCGCCTTTATATTACAGGCTATTAAACTTCAGCCAGTACCCGTGTATTGAGCCAATAACTTATGATTGTGTTTAGCTAACACATCTTCCAGAAAGGAATGCGTCTTGATTTGAAGACATCAGGAGAGAGAGAATCCGCCACTTTGAAAAGACTGCAAATTATAAGTCTTCTTTTTTTCTCTATATTAATAAGCTACTTTTCCCTCCCACAGCTGTGCCTTTTTCTGCAGTAAGCATGATTGTCACTTCGCGCTTAATTAAGAAAGGTAAACTTTAAAACATCTTTTGGTTTAACTTCATGTTGCTCAGATAAGTTTTACTTGTACTCTCAACAAGGTTGCCATGCATAAATTTGATTTTAAATCAGAATATGTAAGTAGATTAGAAATATGTGTAGGAAATATTGTGAAAACTTGACGAGTGGAGAAATGCAAGCTTTTGTACATGTGGGGAAGAAAAAATATTCAGAAAAAGAAATGTTCAGTGGTAGGGAGAAACCTCCAAAGCAGTAACTCTGAAAGAAATCTAGGGATGATCATAGATTTTGGAATTGGATTGAAATGGAAAATACTTAAATATTAAAATATCATTATATAAATGAGGATTTCCCCTCATCTAGAACATTGTATTCATTTGTGGTCATGCCAAAGGCTATGATTTAGTCACAGACATTTTTACTAAAAGTCATGGGCAGATCATGGGCAATAAACAACAATTCACTGCCCGTGACCTGTCCATGACTTACATTAAAAATGCCTGTGATTTAATCTTGGGGGTGAGGCGCTGGGGGGAGACACTGTGGGGGCCACTTCTGTGTGGGGCGCCGGGGACTGTGGCTGCTCTGGCCAGCCGGGAACTGCTGCCTGGGGCCATAGACCGTGGCTGCTCCGTCCAACTGGGAACCGTTGCCCGGGGTCATGGACTGCGGCTGCTCTGGCTGTCCCGAAACCGCTGCTGGGGGCTGTCGGAGCAGCAGCTGGGGTGGCTGTCCCCGGGGCCGCTCCGGCAGTGGCTGGTGTGGCTGTCCCAGGAGCCACCTGAGCAGCTGGCCCTGGGGTCAGCCACACTGGCCCCTGCAGAAGTCACGGAGGTTGCGGAAAGTCACGGAATCTGTGACTTCTGCGACCTTTCGACAGACATGGAGCTCTAGTCATGCCGTATCAAAAAAGGATATTGTGTAACTAGAAGAGATTCAGATATGGGCTCTGAGAATGCAAAAAAGCATAGAAAAAACTTGCTTATGGAAACTGAAAAGACTGGGATTGTTTATCTCAGAGAAGAAGCAAATAAGAGGGGACATAAGTCTACAAAATTAATTAATGTTATAAATGAGGTAGAGTGGGAACGTCTTTTCTCCGTGTCTCAGTACAAAAACAAGGGAACCATCAATGAAATGGTACCACATTCCAAACTCATACTTGGAAATACATATTCATGAGATGTGTAATTGAACTGGATGCCATAGGATGTTGCTGAGACCAAGACCTTAGCAAGATCCAAAAGATATTTGACATTTTTATGGATTTCAAGAATATTTAGACATAAAACATTAAGTACAGTAACTCTAGGGTTACCATATTTCAGCAAGCAAAAAAGAGGACGGGAGGAGCCCCGCCCCCGTCCTGCCCTAGCCCCACCCCTGCCCCTTCCACTCCCTCCCACTTCCCACCCCCCTCAGAACTCCCAACCCTCCCCCTGCTCCTTGTTCCCTGACTGCCCCCTCCTGAGACCCTCCCCCCATCCTAACTGACCCCCTAGGACCCTACCCCCTACCTCTCCCCTGACTGCCCCAACCCTTATCCACACCCCCACCCCCAGACAGACCCCTGGGACTCCCACGCCCCATCCAACCACTCCCCACCCCCTGACAGCCCCCCCTCCCAGAACTCCCGACCTATCTAAACCCCTCTGCTCCCTGTCCCCTGACTGCTCCGATCCCTCTCCCCACCCCTGCCCCCTGACAGCCCCGACCCCAGAACTCCCAAC